GTAAAACAAATAAAATGGAAATTACTCCAACTCTTTAATGTGTTTTTCTTTTTCTTTAAAATGTTTGCCTGTACATTCACATGCCTGATTGTCCTTTATCATGTATAATAACACAGTGAAAATTACTGTACTTTTACATGCCAAAACCAAAGCTTTTGTTAGTCTGTTTTCCTGGCTGTTACCTACTCCCTGTCTGGGCTGCATCTGGCACAGCATCACTGGCCAGTCAAGGGAGGTGATTGTCCCGCTCTACTCTGCACTAGTGTGGCCTCACCTCGAGTCCTGTATACAGTTTTTGGTGCCACCTTGTAAGATATAAAGCTGTTGGAGAGTGTCCAAAGGAGGCAGTGAAAATGGTGAAGGGCCTTGAGGGGAAGCCATACAAGAACTTGGTCTGTTCAGCCTGGGGAAGAGAAGACTGTGGTCTTCAGTGTGGTCTTCAGCATCCTTGTAAGGGGAAGCAGAAGGGTAGGTACCAGTCTCTTTTTGCTGGTGACCAGTGACAGGACCCGAGGGAGTGGCCTGAAGCTGAGTCAGGGGAGGTTTAGGTTGGATATTAGGAACAGGGTTGGCACCAGAGGGTGGTTAGGCACTGGAACAGTCTTGCCATGGAAATCGTCACGGCACCAAGCCTGCCAGAGTTCAAGAAAGTGTTTGGACAACACTCTCAAACACATGGTGTGATTTTTGGGGCTATCCTGTGCAGCACCAGGAGCTGGACTTAAGATGATCCTTGTGGGTCCCTTCCAACTCGGGATATTCTATGATTTAACAGTGCTGGTATTTTAAAATCACTGGAACACAAAATAAATTTTGTTAGAACTGTTAATTAAGCTATTAATAAGAAATAATTATCTCCAAATAAAAATTTGCTAACTATTGAAGGTGCTTGGAAAGGTATGTCAGGGAATAGTATGCTCATCCAACTGGCACAGATGGAGGGGTGTCCCCGTAAAGGGGGTTCTCAGAGCCTTTAGTCACCATGTATTGTTATGTTGAGCATGCTGCAGTTTGAATTCCTATTCTCGTGCTTCTGCTCAGGTCTTTTATTTTCTAAGCTGCAGCAGAGACTTGCTAACTTTAAGTAAAATTCAGGTAAAAACTTAACCTAAATTGCACTGACTTCGATTTTGAACGCCTTTCACCTTAGTGATTGAGGTAGTGTGTACTTAATAGCTGCCTGTGTGCTTGGGAATATCCTTGGCACCTGACAGAAAACAGGAGGGCGTTTCTGTTGGTATCAGCCTCGTCCCCTTGCACCTCTGCTTCCAAGGGAGTTTTTGTCACCGGTGCAACGCAAGAGCCGGAGCAGGGTGGGAGGCGAGTTGGGTGCCTGCTCCTGCGGTCCCGGGGACAGGGAGCCTTTAACTCCAACTCTTCCCGTGCGTGTCGTGGCCGGAGGGCGGAGCACAGGGCTGGCACCGGGGCTGGCCGGCCGCAGGTTCAGCCGGGCCTCTGGGGCCCTCCGACGGCGGAGCGGAGCGCTGGGCCGGGCTAGGCTGGGCTGAGGCAGCGCCGGGATGGCGGAGCGGCGGCTGCGGGCCCGAGTGCAGGGCGGCTGGGCCGGCGGCCCGGCGGGGCGGCCCGCAGGTAAGGAGCCCCGACAGCCGCCTCGCCAGCGCTGTGCGGCGCCCGGGGCGGGCCCGGCCCTGTGGGAAGCGCAGGGTCTGCCTTTCCCCTTCCCTACAGACGGCGGGGAGAACACTGCCGGCCTGGGCGCGGCAGCGAGCGCCGGGCGGCGGGCCCGGCCTCCGGATGCGCCGCTCTCAGGGGTGGCCCCGCTTCCCCCGCACCCCTCGGTAACTGAACTGCAGGTGTCCGAGCCCAGTTTTTGAGTAAAATTAATACGTGAGCCCCTTTTGGGTGCAGAACGCAGGGTACGGATGTGTTGCCAACGTGCACACCGAGGCGAGCGTACTGTGCTCATCTCCCGGTGAGATGAATGAGGTGAACAGGACTTGGTAGAGCTGACTTGTGTGAGAATCAGTAGTCACTTTTGATTCGTAAAACACAGTATGTGCCTTCGTTTACCTTTTCACGGTGAAAATGTTGCAAGATAAAGAGCTACTTGAAAGGACTTGAGTTAACATCATAGTTGTTTTTAACAAACGTTGAAACCAAAGCATGCAGAGGCAGGAGACCACTTTGTATGTTCCCAGTCTTGTAAGAGGAACTGGTGTGTTTTTGTGAAAGTGCTTAAAACACTGTGTTCTGCTCACCTGATTCAATTTCCCATAAAGCTCCCATATCTTTGCAGACTGAGCATCCTAGGCAAGCTGATTTTTTTTTTTTTTTAGTAATGAAAAATTGTAGCCAGCTATTACAATTTGTGCATTTGGCCTGTAAATTTTATTTACAGGTGCATTTTATTCTATCTATTCCTAAGGGGATTTAAAAAATAGAAATTTTCCCATCTTTTGAATTATATAGAATTAAGACTTTGTGTCAGGCCTCTTTTAAAGCCTGTTTGCATGTATAAAGAAAACATATGAAGTCATATGCCTGAGTTCCTCTTCCATAATTCCTAATTTTAAAACCCTGTTTTAATAAAAGTGTTTTTCTCTTTTTTTCTTTAAAAAAAAAAAAAAAAAGACACAGAGGAAAGTAGTTTAGCTTCATGGGACAATTTCTTCTGGCATGTCATAGGTGTTTGTTATAGAATTGAAAGGTTCTGGATGCCATCCTTTCTGATAAAATGATGCTTTCGTTTTTGTTTGTCTATGGATATAATGAATATGTTTTAAAAAATTTCAGTTCCTGTGCAGTTTTAAGTCTTAACTAGTCTTAAGTTTGGCTGTTTCCTGGAGTCTCTGACAAGCAGAGGAGAATACTCCAAGCAATGATTCTGTAAGCTCTTCCTAACTATATTTCTTGTATGATGATATTCTATTTCGAGTGATCCTTCTTTTTTTTCTCTCTTTGCTTTAGCACCTAAGGCACCTGTGGTGAGCAGCCTTGCCCCTGCAGGTGCTAGACCAGCATGGATGAGGAAAGATCAGCCTCACACTCAAAAGCAATTTGTCTTTGAAAAGCCATCAGAGGTAAAAATTACACGGTAACTAGCAGAATCTCATCCATGATTAAACTTCAAATGATAAAAATGATAAAAAGGATAAAAAGTACTTTAGAATATGGTCTGTTGTTTAAAAACAATTAAAAACAGCTGAGCTGAACTATGGGCTTTTACGAAACAGAATTTACAACTATCTTGCATATAATGGCAAACAGAAAAATTGCTGTTCTTCTATTTAACCTGGTCATAACTACTGGTTTTTTTCACAGAGCTGAAAGAATATGTTCTCCTGAATATTCAGAACGATGCAATGTCCTAATAAGCATTGAGCTCTTTTTGTTTTCCTCAGCTGGGATATCTGTCTTGTTGCAGGCAAAGAGTATAGAATTTGTTTTATACACCTAATGTCCCGTCAGCAGATGAAGATTATTGTGCTCTTTGCAGAAAGAAGGCAGTTTCCTTCTTGGGAAAAAAAAATAAATCGTGGGCACTTTTTTCTAAGCTAGACTTATTTCAAATGCTTGGAAGAATTTAAGATGGTCTGGGAAGGTTCTCCTTTCTCTGGGGCAGAGCCCTGGTATCTATATAGTACTGTATTTTAATCCTCTTGCTGGTGCAGTGCAGTACCTCCTTGCATCTCAGCACTCTGAGCTCAGAGCAGAGAAGCAGAAATCCCTGAGATAACCAAAATGGTAGCCAAGGCTGGATTAAACTACTCTGTCTTTTGTTTTAACAAAAACCAGCTATCTCAGCTGTGCAGACAATTTTACAGCATCAGCTCTGGCTATGTTTGGCTTTTCTTGTGTTTTGCTCACTGACTGAGGCCTGGGGTTTGTTCATCCATCCTAAAGTTAACCTAGATTTTTACTTACGTAAGGATATTTTAGTAAATGCAAGGTTAAGAATTTTCTTGGTTGCAGTTGACAAATAGCAAGTATTATAATAAATCCAAATAAGTTAGAAATCAATGTCCTTTAGGGGGCAGTTGATTGGTAAAAAACAGCCTGCAATGGTAGCTGCATTTGAGAGTTTTTGTGGCATGGAGGGAGCAGGTGGGTTGTTACTGCTCATGGATTGTCCAGAGTTATGTTTTCCCACTGGCATATCAGTGTGTGGCTATGCAGAGTCACTAGAGCAGACCTTTAGTTCCATTTGACTAGAGTGTGCCAGGTACTTAAATATTTAATATTCAATGTGCACTCTCTTGTTACCTTTCAGGTGGAGCGCAGAGTTCCTGAGGCAGATGTGATAGAGTGAGTACACTGCTGACTTAACTGTCCCTCCTGCAGTTTTTCTGTCATTATGGTTGGTGGGAATCTGCTGGAAAAAGAGTTCCTTTTTCACACACAACTGCCATGCCTTTGGAAGAAATTTCAGTAGAAAATGTGGACTTTCAACCCTTTATCCTGGGCTGAGCATATTATCAGGAGAGTCCAAGTCTGTTAACTGGCTTTTATAGCTTTGGTGTAGCTGTGTAAGCCAGGAATAATAATTATTGGACATCTTCTCAGAATAAGTTTGGCATGAAGTGTGACCAAGTGTGGTGGTGTATGGTGAAGTTAGAGATAATGAAAATTAAATATTCTTCAGTTTGGCTATCTTGGTAGAATTTTCTTACTCAGTATGCCTATAAATGCATATGTAGTGATCCGAGTGCAGTCTTGTGTGGTTGTCTCCTTTAGGTTCCCTCTAACATCCCTGTTTTATTTATCTCTAGAGCCCTAAAACTGTGTATTGAGCCTTTGGTGAAAGGAAAGACAGGAAGTGCACACACACTCATTTGCTTCTGCAGCACTCCTTGCTGCCTTACTCTGACCTCTATCTCTGGGACATTATTGCTTCCCTTTTTAAATTTTCTTTTCTTTTTTAAAGAAAAATTTCCCTACTCGAGGCCTGCAGCAAATGTAGTCTGTGCTGCTCAGTCTGAGATAGTTTCTTGTTGTTTATCTTTCTGATGTCTCTTTTCCCTTCTACATCCTAAGCAAGCCTGGTGTGTATGAGCTCAGCAAAGGACCAACTGGCATTTCTAGGTGAGTGGCTGAAACTTGTTACTTGCTTTTGCAGAGTGATGTGGTGATACTCAGATTTCTGAAGCCCAGTCTCTGCAGAGCATTCTGACTCTAGCAGCTGCACACTGCCTTTCCTGTGTATCATCTGTTTAGAGTACTTCTGGAAATACTTTGAGTATCAGGTAGCAGAGATTTACGTGGTTCCGAGCAGCACTGAAGAGATGAAAAATAAACCTCTTGACATCTAGTGGGTACTGCATCTGGTGTGCTTGCCTGGCATGAGGACAAGGGGCTTTGTCCATTTGATTCATGATTCAGAATAAGTTGCTG